CAAGCACTTGCTGTAAAGTGAAGTGTCTGCCTTATCTGACAGAGTGAAAATAATTGGAGAAAAGTTATCAGAGTTTGAAGGCTTTTCGATTTCATATTATATTGGAGATTCCATCAGAGCCTGGCAAAAGTTATAAAAAAAATCTTTGTATTGGAATTAATTATCATTCATTTATCAAGATAGATTGAGTTATCTATCCATCAAAGTAATCATATAGGTAAATTCTCGTGCAGTCCTGTAGTATATTGGTTTGAGCACTCGCCTCACAAGGGACGTCAAAAGGGAAGGTTTCAGGCAGGACTTGAAAAAGGGGAGGGGGCAAGGTTGAGCGATTGAGGGAGAGTGTTCCGGAGTTTCGGGGCGTAGTGGCTGAAAGCGCGACCTCCGATGGTGTGGCGGAGGCTGCAAGGGACGAGCAGGAGGCTGGTGCCAGTCGAGCGGAGGTGCCCGGTGGTGGATTGGGGAGCGAGGAGGTCAGAGAGGTAGGGAGGTGCCAGAGAGTGAAGGGATTTGGACACGAGTGTGAGGATCTTGAAGTCGATTCATTCGGTGATGGAGAGCCGGTGGAGCCTGGTCCAGAACTGGTGAGATGTGGGTACAGAGTTTGGTCCAGGTCAGTATGTGGGCAGCAGAGTTCTGAATGAACTGGATCTTTTGAATAATGGAGCTGGGGAGACTGGCGAGGAGTGTGTTTGAGTAATCCAGGCAGGAGGTGACAAACGTACGCACGAGGGTTTCAGCTGCATTGGGGGAAAGGTACGGTTGGAGGCGGGCAATGTGGCGGAGGTGGAAGAATACGGTCCTGGTCAGGGACCGGATGTGGGGGAGGAAGGACAGCCGGGGATCGAACTGGACGCCTATATTGTACACTGGTTTGGTGAATGTGAGGGAGAACCCAGGGAGGTTGAGAAGTTCAGATCCTCATTTCGCTACCGCAAAATTTTGTGGGCTCCCGCGTTTCGACCCCAAAATATACAGTGAATTCACTTTACAGTATATTCTGTGAAGCGCTTTGAGACATCTCAAAGAACATGATAAGGAGCTATATCAAATGCAAGGATTATTATTATTATTTTCTAACCTGATAATTGCCCAGGTGGCTGGGAATCTTGCAGTGGAAAGTTCTCGGGAGAAACCTGCCGCCTCCTGTTACTAATTATCTGTGAAGTAAGGTCACCATGTCTGTCTGATCCTCCATCACTGAAGGGACTCATGATGGTCTTGGTTACCAATCAGGCATCACGTCTTTCCCTTCCTGCCCTGATGAAGTGATCCAAGTGACCCTGAATGAGTGCAAAAATGCATTCCCCAGCCCTCAGGTGAAGGTACATTAGCTGAATGAAACAACAGCAGCCCTGTCATTGTCCAGCAAGTAACACACAGATCCAATTTGCAGTATTCTTTAACGTGTTAATATCAATAATAATAAGGCTTGACAAAATTAATAGCAATAATAAGGTGAACAAAATATGAACCTCCTGCAAAAAGTAACATCTATTTATATGTAACATTCAGCGCCTTGGGACGTCCTCCCGACGTGAAAGGCGCTCCATAAATGGAATCTTGTTGTTGTTGTAACGTGGCAGTGTTATTGGTCTGGCTGGACCATCGCTGAAAACCAGTAAGAAGTTACCTCTACACAGTGATTTAAATTGCAATAACATAATAATCATTGCATTTGCTATAGCGCCTACAAAATACACTTTACAGTAAATTCTGTTTCTGTGAAAATCACCAGCCAGATTATTTTTTCTATGGGGAACTGAACACATCTGATCCATAGCATTTTTTTAATGTGGGATCAGCTGATCTGAACACCATTCAGATTAGCTTCACTTATATTAAATGTACTTCATTTCTCCTGAGTATCAGACAATGTTTTTGAGAGGACACGGGTGCCAGTGTGCTGAAGTACCATCCTGCCAAAATTTAGGAGCTAATTTGTAATCCAGACCAGACAGATGGATGAAGACGCTGTCTATTCGAACACAGCTAACGTGAATCAATGTCACCTGAAGAACGTCCTTCAATAGAATCCTGAGTCCTGAGCCACAAGCAACTCACGAAAATTTAGCACCATGTCTGAACGTCACCATATCACCATGTCATGAAAATTCAGCTCTATTCTCCTGCCCTTTCTCCACATAATAACACGCCATAATAAGCCTTGCATTTGATATGGTGCCTTATCACAATGTTGGAACGTCTCCAAGTCCTTCACAGTGCTTCACGTTGTACCCTGTGAAGCGCTTTGAGACGTCTCAATGACATGATTAGGCATTATATCAAATGCAAGGATTATTATTACAATTATTATTCTGTACGTGTGTATCAACTCTCCTCTTAAATACATTGAAACTTTTCGCTTCCCCACAGCTTCCGGCAATTAACTCCACATTCTCACTGCCTGAAGAACAAGTTTTATGTTTCCAGTGAGAGGTTGGGCTCAAAGCTGAAAGTGTTGGAAAAGGCAATGATGGGCGTGGTTGGTACAACAAGGCAGGAGATAACTCTCTACTTGCAGCTAAGTGCGTGGTAGATGAATGATGGAGTGCTCACATTTAATTTGAGAGTCTCGCTTCCCGAGAAACAAATAATTGCTTTTCTAAAATGATCTTGTTCACCTTTGCGCTTTACACATTCCTCTGCTGCCGACGGTGGCTGTTAGTCTGAACCCAAAAACCACCCAAAGCTTCCCAATCAATTGCTGTTCGGAAGCCCATCCCCCACCCCCCAAGTCTTGCTTAAACACATATATGTGCCTGCGCGCGCGCACACACACACCCACGCACAAACATTTAAAGACACGGAAGTCAATTATAATGATCAATAAAAAAAACAACAGAATGTAGCTAATCCTATACTGATCGGCGATAAAACATGGCGCTTTCTTGCTGTGTGTGATTCAGCATCACTCAGGTATGTGAATTTACCCACCAAGTCTCCTGTCTAAATGAATACATTTGTGCAGATATCATTTAATAATAATACTATAATAATCCTTGCATTTGAGATAGCGCTTGATATCAATATTGGATGACATTTTGTCACAGTGGATGACATTTTGCAATTGCACTCCCAAGAACCAAACAAAAATATTGCCTCATCAGTAATACAAAAGGTGCAATTGCGTTATCAAATTCACACTGAGCTGTGACAAACGAATCAACAGAAAAGGGTTCTGCAGCATGACCCGCTCTGTCAACTGTAAAACACTGCAAAGGAAATGAGTACATTTAAGCAAACTTATGGTGACTGGGAGCAGACAGCCACTGCCCTCAGCTGTGTCAGAGCTGGCCTTTCTCTGAAAGAGAGACAGGTGCAGCATGTGTGTGCCATGGTCTTTCTGCGTTGCATACTGATTGAGCCCCAACAGCAATGCACAGCTTAGCAAATCTTTCAATCTCCCACGGGTTAATAGCTGTATGTATTTGAGATCACTTTGCTGATCGAAGTCAGCGTAAAATAAAGACAGGCGGTTGTAACATAACAATTAAGGGAATAATCTGACCACATGTATACATAATGAATTATTGTACTCTATCGATCCTGTTTGGCTGTGAAACTGCCAACAATCTGTCCGCACGTGTGTCAGATGTAGGATTTTCAAACTCACAGTCCAGGCTAATATCCCAGTGCAGTGCAGGGCTGCATTGTTGGAGGTGCCGTTAAACTGAGAAGTTAAACCACTTTGCTGCTGTTTCGGTTGCCGTGTTTGCCGAGATGTACACAGTTGCTATGCTTTACAGCGATCCTCTGAAACACTTTGAGACATCCGCCCGATGTAAAAGGTTCTCCATCAAATGCCAGCAATGTTATTATTATTCTATTCAAAGTCACTTGTTTCAGTTGGTACCATCTTGAGTCAGATCTGAACAGGCTGACGGGACCTCGGTTTAATGTTTAACGTTCATCTAAAAGACATCACCTTTGACAAAGCAATGCCAACCCCCCCAGCACTACAGGGGACTGGCAGCCTAGACCATGTGAGCTCAAGTCCCAATGTGGGCTTGAATCCGGAACCTTCTGACTTAGAGGTGAGAGTGCTACCAACTGAACCAGCCTGACACGCAATCAGCGCCATATCAAATGCAAAGATTATTATTATTGTTATTACTTTAACGACTTTCACTTAGGTTGTAAAACAGCTGACTTTTGTTTAACTTATTCTATGTGACCATTTGTTTCCCACTGGGGAAAAGAGGAATGTTGGAAGGAAGAATACAAGTTCTCCAGCCCGCAGCTTGCCTTGTTTTTACTGCATTCCTGATTTTGCCATCCTATTGTCTCTATCATCACCGTGAAAGGCTCTATATGAATGTGAGCTGTTGTTGCTGCCATATCAGTACTAATAGGCGCAAACCTTTCAATTGTGCCCGACATTGCAAGGAATTGGACTCAGCCTGAATGTCAGAATGATAGTCCGTCAGGAGAAAAGAGCTCCTTGGTGCTTTATTGATTTTGTACTCTGATTAAAAGGAAGCAAGGCGATGTGGATCGCAGAAGTTGGCACAGATTTGTTTCATGGATTAAACAGTACAGTCCCAGGTGATTTGTCAGCAGAAAAGCATCACTTTGCTGGCTGCTCACTTGTGCTGTCTCACAT